CCTGTATCCTATAGGAGTCAAATCAAAGTGCTAACCCATACCTATAAAGCACTAAACTATTCTAGCCCCTCTTATCTTATATCTCTTTACAAATCCATAGGTATGCCCTTTCTCGGTCTCTCCACTTTGCCCAGGACCTTCTACTGCTAGAAAAGCCTGCCTACCGCCATCAGACTCTCCCCTAGTCTTCAATCATTTAAGAAGTGCCTTAAAACTCATCTCTTTAGGAAAGCTTATGGCCTCCCAGAGTAACCTCTACCTTATATACCTGTCTCTTGCTCTCTCCTAAAGGGCAGCACTTTACTCTCTCCCCCAGCTCTGCTTCACTTCCATCTTATTTGATTGCCATTTCCTGTCCTAATGTGCTTTATACCCCACCTCCCATAGACTGTAAGCTTGTTTGTGCAGGGTCCTCTTTAACCTAATGTTCTTGTAAGTTTTCTTGTAATTGTCCTATTTATAGTAAAATACCCCCTCTCATAATATTGTAAAGCGCTACGGAATCTGTTGGCGCTGTATAAATGTCAATAATAATAATAATAGATAGATACACAGACAGATACTGTATAATATTTAATAAATTACACTCTTCCCAATATTTCAACAACAAAAAAAATAGTTGTTGGTCCCAAATGAATACAATATATATGCAAGCTATGCTAAACATAAAAACTGCAGTGAAAAAGATTAAATAAAGGTAACCATTCATTATCACACAGGGTTTTCAATTCACCCCTACCGACAAATAACTGCTGAAGTGTTTCTTTCTAATTTTGTAAAATTGATAAAAGGAAAATAATGCTCTTAAATGCAATAATTTAAAGTAAAATAAATGCAAAAATATACAACTGCAAAAAATTTATAATATATAGTATATTATAGTATAAAACATACAATAGTAAACTAAATAAATTATATAGATTTACTAAAGTGGTGTAAAGAACTCCACTGCTCACACACATTTCATCACTGTTTGTAGTTATAGATGGGTACAAAACTATACAAACCAGAATTTAACTCATAAAGCCTCACTTCTAATTTGCTTCAAGGTTCTGTCTGCATTTAGTCTTCACTGGAAAGAGAAGCAAATGTATCTGTCCACATGTCATTCAGTCCCTCTGCATCTGTCAAAAAACAACGTAGATTCCAAACCAATTCCGTCTGCTAAACTAGTGATAAAACACAACAGTGCTTCAATTATGAGAGAAATTCAAGATTGTGGAATAAATTGTGTATTCCTGTGGAACAGCTGTTTCATGCACTTAATATCTAACCATCAAAGAGATACCTTTATGATCAGAATACTAGATTGTTAGAAACAAAAGAGTCATTAATGAGAGAATCTGCTTAATAGCTTATGATTTTTTAATTAGCTACCGATAACTGTATTTTTCCCAAAGAAATTGAAGATAAATAAAGATAGTAAAAATAATCTGAGCTCATAAATGAAACTACATTGGAAGTCATTATTCATGTTGTGTCTGTGTGCGCCTATGTGTGTATGGTGGGGGGGGTTGCATATGTGCCTGCATGCGTGCGTGTGTGTGTGTGTGTGTGTGTGTGTGTGTGTATGTATGTGTGTATACAATTATCATGTATTATATGATAAGAATTGATGGATTGTGATAAGACAAGCAAAATTGCAGAGAACATGCACAAACATGATCTAACAGCTGTGTGTTTACAATCCAAAGAATAGAAAATTGTATGACTTTATATGTATCATGTGCAGGACAAACATTTTATTCATAGTTAAATTGTTACATAGTTGTCTAGCTTGAAAAACACTAAAGTCCATCAAGTTCTTTTATTCTGTTGATCCAAAAGAAGCCACAAAAAAACTATTTTAGCCATTTCCAATTATGCCACAAATGGGAAACTAATCCTTATTTAATCCATAAAGGCAATAATATTTCCCATTGGATCAACAACCTATTGCCATACATGTCAATTTTATCCTTAAATAATCAGTTTATGCAAAAAAGCATCCAAGCCTTTTTTTAAAAATCGATTTGGAATTTGATAAGACAACCACTTTAGGCAGAGAATCCAACATCTTTATTGTTGTTGCTGCAAAGAACCCTTTACTCTACTGTAAGAGAAAATGCTTTCTTCCAGTGTCAATGGGTTAACAAAATTTTTTTTAGCCTTTCCTCATAACTAATGTTTTCCATTCACCTTACTAATTTTGTAGCTCGCCTCTGCACTTTTTCTAGTTATTATGAACTATCTCAACAAGGTTATACATCTCACTCTGTTATAATTAAGGAAACAGCTTTAGTAAACAGTTGTATTTTAGAGATTGAAAAGGTAATTTAAGTTAACATTCAGTCTTTTTTATTTATTTATTTTTTATAGATATGGCAGTATAGACATTGCCAGATAGACGTGTGCAATCATTTTCAAACAAATTGAAATTTAGGCAATCAGCTTTTTGTCCAGAATCCTTAACTCCTGAGCATTATATGGATGTATCACAAAACAAATTAAACAGACAATGGATAAGCTGCTTTGTTTGTTTTTTGATTCAGAATTCCAACCATGGTGCCATAAAAATAGATATTTGCACACAGAACCCTATTTCCAATCTCACACAGCATACTCATCCAATGCACTCATTACTAGCATGTGACGCAAGCAAGAGACTGCCACCCCAGGCAGAACAAGGCACCAAGAACCAATCTACCACAACTAGCAAGTGATGACCCACTGTCAATCAGTACAACACCTAATATAGGTGGAGGGAGAAACCACCCCGAGAATACTCAGGTCATTCTATCCACCCACAACGATGATAAAAATGGGTACCTATCGTATAGTACCCCACACCACCCCCCTTACTTCTTCACTCCCCAACTGAAACCCATGAGTCCAAGCCCCAACACCACCACAAATACTATTAGAACAATACATTGGCCCACCTACCATGAGGAACTTTACAGCAATCACTATGTCTAAAGGTGTACTCAACAAAATATATTATACTAGATTTCATATGTAAGAAGGCAATCTAACAGAAGAATTTCCTGGAAATTGAGCTTACCACAGTACAGACAGAAGTTACGCCTTTGAAACTGTATTTCATCAACGTGCCATATTGAAAATGTACCCCTTCCTCTTTCCTCATTCTGTACCCCTAAATGAAACATGACAAAAGTGAAAAATAAAGTATTTACCAAAAAAATTAGATATTTGATAGAACTAAAAATGAATGATGGTTAAGGAGAAGTGACCAATTAACAGAATAAAGAAGGACCCTTAAAGAAACTATTTATATATCATATATTTAATAAATGTATAGTTTATAAATAAATGTGGAAATATTAATGTTCCTCCTATTTCCTTTTGTTTGTTATGTTTTTTCACTTGATGCGTGAAACAAATGGCAGTACACTGTTTGTTTGACCTATTTTCATGCCCTTTTGGTTTGACTGAGTGATGTTTTTTTCCCCAAAAATAATGGCATGTATGAAATGCATCCAAACCGAAATGCCACCACAATGATTCTCAAATTGCCAGTAACGTTTTTTTCAGAATAATCGATTCAGACAAAATAAAAAAATAATTCCATCTCAAATCTTAGTGTGTACAGGTAAGTGGTCATCTTTAATATCTATGGATATACAGGTCTATGTCGTCACGGTAAAAATATGATTTTAACAAGTTAATGAAAAGCTGACTTAAATTTATCCTATAAAGGGAAGGATATATTATGATTAAGGAAAATAAATGTTTCCATGACATAGCAGATGATTTTATGATGCCATTAAGATTCTGCTACTGAAGAACATAAACAAAAATAGAACTGCAAAATGAACATGCCCAGAACCACAAAATGGAATTGTTTTCTGAGTTTAAATTGGAACAAACCCGGACATCATAACCCTTCATCATTTTAAGAGTGATCAGTATTAGAACGACGTTTGTGATGCTGCAAGGCAACAAATGAAATGAGCGGGGAAAGTCATTTTGCTGGTTGGTATGAGGAGCAACTTGCTCAACAAATGCAGCAACATCAGTTCTGGTGGGTATTCTTACAGTTACACCTCTCAGTGTCTTTCATTTCTGTTACGTCCAGCCACTCTAAAGCCTTCTAATAATTCTTTTATGCCTTTAGTCTACATCTTCATTTATGAATCCTATACTTGCTTAGTAACTTGACATCTGACATGAAATCTGTAATATCCTGTAATGTTCTCCCATTCCCTCTAGCACTTACAGACATGGAGTAGCTATATCTCAATACAGATCTAAAGCATGCAATGTGAAAAAGTACAATTCAAAACAAGTACAATAAAAAAAATCATTATTGTACTTGTTCTGAATTGTACTTTTTAACATTAAGTGTTTTATTATTGGCCCCTGAGGAAGCCCCTTTGGGAAGAAATAAGTTTGATCATATTTTTATTATTTGTTTTTTAATTAATGTAATTTGCTATACATGTTTACCTTGACAGAGCCCCTATTTTGGAGGAGAGTAGAGGAGAAACTATTTTGAGGCAGTTTGCGCTAGTTTCCCATAAATCAGAGTAGGAACCTCTATAGGCTGACATATGGCTACCTCTTGTGAGTGCAACAATTTAGCAGTTCTAAGCTGTGTGTCTTTACTGTATTACACTATGATGTATATTCCCAATATATTATTTAAAATGTAATTTCTTATGAAATTTATATAGAATACAAATATGAACCAGAAGAACATTCTTAAATAAAGAGATTTAGTATTAAAGATGACCAAAAAATAAGAAAGTGCTCCAGGAAATATATATTTCTTTAAAAAAAAATTGTGGAAAATATATATATTTAAATTAAGAAAAATAGAGTGTTTATATGATTTTATTAAAGGTTTGCGCTAAAGTCTCTAGATCTTTCTTCCTTGTCCAATTTTCCTAATAAAATCTCCCCCTCTCCAGTTATTCTGTAGCTTGTTTATGTCCACAAACCTTGAAACCCTTTATGGTCTTTATAATTTTTTTCCTTTAAAATGTACTGTTATGGACAGATGAATTAAAATAAAATGGCTATTTACTAATGTCTATTTATTCTCTGTTCACTATGTTAAAACTGGCTTCTAGAGTAAATATTCCCTTCCCCCCCTACAATGTGTTCAGCTGCTGTTTACTATGTAAATTCCTCACATCCTGCTAGCCTCCCCCCTTCAAATCAATAAAACCTTGTGTAACCAAAATTCCTGTGATAACAACTCCCTTTACTAACTCCTCCCCCATTACCTTTGTGCCAGTTAACAGCTATATGCCACGTATAACAAAATGGAGAATCACTGTTTTAGAACTGAAAGAAACTACTCACTCCCCCTCCCATCGTGTATCCAGAAGTCTGTAATGATGACACTACATCCTGTAGGGGGGTTTAGACAAGACCCCCCCTTAGACTGTTAACCAATTGGTGAATGTATACTGTATGTTTAAACTGTGACGTATTTTTGCTTTAAGAAGGAGCCCCCACTCCGAGGAATAAAGCATTCCTGGGTTTTTCACTGATCAGAAACTTTGTCTCCGGTGTGAATTACTTCTAGGGAAAGCGTGCACGCATTAAACAATCAATTTGGAAGGTGTAGATAGACAAATTATCAAAGTTTTCTTTGATCTAAAGCAGTACTATTAATAATTTCTTTATAATTTGCACTGCCATTTATAATATTGTTAATATGTTAATTTATAGACTTGGAGATTTGTGTTATGAACTGCAGATTATATCAATTTGGGCTGATGGTGTGATCGCACAAATTCCTGAACTCAAAAACAAAATGTAAGCCGAATCTTGAACCAAACGGATTTCACAATGGATGAGCATGCTGTTTTGATCTATGATTTGGAAATCCTCCCATGGTGCTAAAAAAAAGAGAGAATTGATGAAAAAGAAAGATAAGTGATAGCTCGGAGACACACTCCAAAGTTTGATTTTATATACAGATCAAGTGGGAAGTGGCCAAAAGAGGGGGAGGGAATAATAGTAAATAAAAATCTATATTTATATATTATATAATTAATAAATGTTTAATACATACATAAAGATTTTTTAACTGCTCCTCATCCTTTTCTTATTAATGGCTACTTTTTCTCTCTTAAGCTGTGAACCAACTGAAGGGAAAATATTTCTGTATACTGCAAAATGTATACATAATGTCAGGATCAGATGGAACCAAAACACACAAACCAAATCACAACAAATAGACTTTACATATGCCGGTTCTCAGAATAGCCGGGCTAATGAACAAACAGAGTCAATAAGGATGTCCAAGGTCAAAAGGATACAGGATACTGGATAAATGATACACAAGCCAAGGTCAAAGTATTACAGAAGACAAGAATAATGATAAACCAGTACCAGGATAATTACTGAAGAAGAATGCTGCAGTAACACTATTAGGCTAACAAGAACCACAACAGGGCAACAAGGACTGAGACAGGTAAGCATATATAGGCAGGTCTTAACTTCCATTGTTCCAGGTCAGCTTGGAATTAAGTATAATTCATGGACATTAATTGACCTTTTCAGTTTGACCTCTAATGTCATATTTGTGCATCGAATTCGGTTCGGCAAATTCAGAATTCGGGACCAAATTCAGTCGCACATACAGGCACGCTGTGTGCAAGCATGCAGGGTCGGACAGAACAACGGATGAAGGAGGGCAATGTGCACCAAGCCTGACAGGTAAGCGGGCAGCAGACCTGACACATATTTATATTAATTATATATTTATCAGTATACTGTTTTGACCCATCTGACTCGCTTTCCTGAATCATTTTTTATTATCCTAATTAACAGCCTTACGGCCATATCTCCCAAAATGGGCAATCTTAAAAAAAAAAAAAGTATTATTTTCATACAAAGTAGCTCAGCCAAAACACATTTTTTTCTATGAATCTATTATTTTATTAATCAGTTTTATTCTTAATCCAATATATTTTATATTACATGCCAAGAAATATAAAACATTCTTTGTCTTGTTGTTAGATCTTTTATTTTATACTGTCTACCTGTTATTTCACAACAAAAAATATATATCAATTTTATTAATGCATTGCACTCTTTTATGCACTCCTTTATGATTATATTTACTAAAAAGGCAAATTAACTATTTAAACTATTTAACTATCTACTTTTTGTAAATTTCAATTTAAAAAGAGGAGCCACTGTAAAATGTAAACATGGTCTGTTCATAATCTTGGCCAGTGCGTCCTCACTTTTCTTTTAATTATTTTGTGTTCTTTATTAAAATAAAAAATTGTGTTCATCGTTGTATTAGGCCCTTTCTTATCCATTTTTAGTTTTTGGAACCAATCTGATTGTGTTTTTCCATCAAATCTTGCAGAGCATTTTTTTAATATTCTAAGTGTATTTCTTTTTCTTAAATTTTTGCATTAGTAACTTTGCTTGCTGTCTAAAAATCTCATCCTCACACACATTTCTCCTTAACCTTAAGCTGTCTTCTAGGAATGTTATTTAACCAAAGGGAAGCATGTCCACCTTCATATAATATTCACAGCCATTTTTTGTTTGCAATAGGTCTATGCTTACATTTTATTATTTTTTATGTATACTGTTGAATTTAAAATGTTTATTCTACTACATTCCCATGTTAAGTTAATTTCCCAATCATTATTTAGTTATATTACAAACAATCTTTCTATTCCTTTTTAATTCTTTCCCAAATAAGAAACATGTAATTTATAAAGCATTTGTAACTGAGACAGTTGCCTCACTCTGCAGGCTGAAAAAAAGCAAGTAAATATGATTTTTTTCATATTTACCTGCATCTTCTTATTTAGTCTTTCCACACTCACTCGGGGGAGGAGCCTACACTGATCTAACAAATAATTGTCCTATCCCTAGGATTGTTTGAAAAGTGCATTGGGCATGCCTTACTAGGAGATAATCGAGGGAGTCTGATTAGTGTGAGATATGCAGAGCAGGCTCAAGTGTTGGGTTTTTCTCTCCTGCTGCTACATTCGTGGAATGGTCTGAAACTGGGAAGGGTGGATGAGAGAGAAAGGGTGGATAGGCTGATGAAACCCCCATATCAGTATGTCCAAAAATGTTATCTGACCACATTTACAGTAAATATAAGAAATTTGGGAAAAATCAGTACAAAGTGGTGCTACTATCACCTAGTGTGAATCACTCAACCACACAAATAAAGTGTACAAAAAATATAAAAGACGGTGAGAGCACTCTAAAGCATGCAATTAAAATTATTACCAGATTGATCTTGAGTTCAACTCTAAAAACAACAAGATAAAAGAAACATAGAGTAGTATTGACAGATTACAAATATTGTTAGTAAAATACTGGAAAAACTCACATGTTACTGAGTCACTTAAAAAGCTGACTCAGACTAAAAGCTTGTAATGGAGATGAATATTCCTTTAGACTGGACGTCCTTTGGATGAATTTCTTCTGGATGTTAATGTAATAATTATTCCAGGATACAATTCCAAAGTGAAACTAATTTATTGATTAAAACAAAAGTTTTTAAATCAAACATAGAATAAAATTGTCCATATGTAATTACCACGACGCGTTTCGGCAAAATAGCCTTTCTCAAGTGGTTTGCATTCATCTCCATGATTGTAGCTTTTAAGTTCAAAAGTTTGGCGCCCTTTCTCACTGTTTCCGGTTTTCTTTACTTCCGTTTTCGTCATCAGTAATCGTCCGACGTGTTCCACACGTCATGGCGTCATCTTTCGTCGTCCGACGTATCCCACACGTCATGACGTCATTCCGGCACTCCGGACCGGAAGTGTTGCGGGCGCCATTTTTAAAAGTCCTTTTAATACTTATTTTGCCAGTTCTTTTCAAATAACGAGCAATTAAAGCATAAAAAAGTTTTATATATAAAATTTTGGTATAAACCTTCTCCAAATAAAAAAGGGGGAAACATATATATTATTAAACAAGAGGAAATATCATATACAATATATGTAAGTTAAGATCTAAACAGCTGTGTAATAAAATAAATATTAAAATAACAATAGTTATAATAATAAAAATAATTAAAATATATTTATATATAGGAATTGACCTCAAAATCTATATTTAGACCACATGGGGATAAAGTTTGCATGTTAAAAATCCATTTCATTTCGGTTTTGTTCAGGAGATTTTCTATGTCTCCTCCCCTCCAATGTGTTTTGACCCCTTCTATACCCATAAAGTCAAAACCTTGTGTGTTACCCCCATGTACTTCTAAAAAGTGTTTAGACACATTATGAAGAATATATTTTCTTTTAATATTATAAATATGTTCTCTAATTCTTATTTTTAGTGGTCTAGATGTTCTACCTATATATTGGTATCCACATGGACAGGTGATCATATAAATTATATTTTTAGAGTTGCAGGTTAAAAAAGATTTAATATCATACGATTTTTTATTAAAAAAAGAATCAAATTTGGTAACAGTTTTATTTTTATGTTTTCTTAAAGTGCACCCTCTACATGACCCACAATAATAAAAGCCATTGTCTCTTTTAAACATAGTTAAAAGTTGGGGATTTTTTTCTTTCTCTAAAAAACTTGAAGTTAAAACCTGTTTAAAATTCTTTGCTCCTCTAAAAATGACTTTGGGTTTAGTTCCTATATATTGTTGTACATCTTGATCCTGCTCCAAAATGTGCCAGTTCTTCCTAATTATTTTTTGTAATTCATTACTGTTTGAGCTATAATTAAAAATGATAGGTATAGTAAGATCATCGTCCCTTAATTCTTTTGTTTTAGATTTTAAAATATTTTCCCTAGATTCTTGTCCTACTCCTTCTTTTAGTCTTTTTAATTCATCATAATTGTACCCCTTTTCCACTAGTTGATTAATTAAAATCTGAGTTTGTTCATCATATTGTTGAGTTTCTGTACAATTTCGCTTGATCCTTAAAAATTGTCCCTTAGGTATATTCGTTAACCAGGGTTTAAAATGGCAACTTTTCAAATTAATAAAACTATTTACATCTACTAATTTATAAAAAGGGGAAGACAAGAAGAGGAAATAGAAAACAAAAAAGAGGAGAAGAGGAGGAGGGAGGATTTAGCAAAAAGACCCCAACGGACATAAGAATTTTTAACCTTTCGGATAAAATTTTAAATGATTGTCATATAAAGGTTTTAAATAATGGTTTTAAATTTGCTCCTAGTTGTGACATTGATAAATTTGAGACATTTTTAGACATTAATAGATTTACGCGCAAATTATGTTTAAAAAAGTTTTTTAATCAAAAGACCCTTAATATAATAGAAGAGAAAAATGATGAAAGTTTTAAACATACCACTTTTAAAAACAAATCAAATTTTTTTCCAAGCTATTTAAAGTCAGATGCAATAAAGGTATTCGAAAAAATCTGCATTAAAGAGCTCAGAGAAATA